GGCCACGCCAGCCAGCCCGTCGCTGGAGGAGAGCCGGATCAGCGGCTGTTGGGGAGTCGGGATTACAGAGATTAATGATGAGCTGCTATAAGCTGCAGCTGATGCCAAGCCCTCCCCCCCCCTTTACACCTAATTAGCCTCATTAATGAGTCTCCTGCTCTCTACCGAGTGGGGTGTCCTCCACGGAATAGCAGGCAGAGAGGCTTCTCCCAGGTAGACATACACTGAGCCTCCTTCATTACGGATCTCATCTGACTCTTCGGTCAGGTGAAGATGGCGAGAGAGTTTAACCGGAATTGTGGCTGTTTATTATGGCTGTTATGAACCGAGACTATTAACCCTTTAAAATTCCTTGGGATTCTTTTTTCTTTCTAAGTGAGCTTGGAAGGTAGAGAGAAGCCCTAATGTCAACTCATATTTCTATGGCCTTTTTAGAGTCGCCAACAGAAAGGGAGGGGGGGAGCAGTGGAGGCAGCTTGCAAACCGAAAGCGCATTCCACGAATGTTTTGAAAAATAGTAACGAGGTGGCTGAAGTTTCTGCCGTGCAAAGATCTAACTGGAGAGCCTGATTGATGACTCTGGGCTATGGAGGGGTCCCATTGGAGAATATGAATTAGGATACACCCAGAGGAGTTGAGGGGGAAAACCGAGGTCAAGGGTGACAATGAAAGATGAGTCTCAGAGCTGGCTTCACCCAGGCAGCGCCGGACATGTTAACTCCCAATAAATCCTTTTGAAGTTTTGGAAGTTGGGCTCGAGACTCGTGATTTAAATGGGGGTAACAGTTGGAATCCTGACACCTGGACTTTCTTGGAAGAACATGGAAGGGTCTGAACCGAACTTCGTGGCATCACCAGATGGGGCTCCTTCTGACAATTTCAGGCCGGGTATCTATTCTTTTTTTTTTTTTTTTTCAGTACAGCTAGTCCTCAATGTATGACCACAATGGAGCCCGGAATTAGACATTGCTAAGCAAGACCTTCGTGAAAGGACGTTTGCCCCATTTTATGAGTTTGCTTGCCCCGTTTGTTGAGGAGAATCACTGCCATTGTTCAATTAGTGACACGGTCATTCAGTGAATTGGGCTTCTCCCTGCCTCATCGATTTTGTGTAAGGATTCCAGTAATCACCCTAATTGAGTCATGATTCTCGAGCCAAACTTCAAAAAAACTGCAAAGGATTCATTAGAGGCGACATACTGGCCCTGCCCTGTATGAAGCCAACTCTGGCCGGCATCATTTACAGTCCCCGGTGACCCTGTTTTCCCCCCTCCCCCCCGGGTGTGTCATAAATCAGATTCTCCAATTGAGCACCTTCACGGGCCAGGTGTCATCAATCACGTTCTCCAATTAAATATATTCATGGGCAAAAACTCTGGTAGTTTAGCTACAATCTTTTAAAGAGAAGAGTTGGAATGTACTTTCGCTTCCTCCCCCCTTTTTATGGCAACTACTAAAACAGGCAGAGGAATGTTTTATGAGTTGACACCTTGCTTGTCAGAAGGTCACAAAAGGGGATCCCACGACCCCAGGATGTCATAAATGTGAACTGGGTATCAAGCGTCTGAATGAAAAATCAGGTGACCATGGGGATGCTGCAGTGGTCATAAGTGTGAAAAACGGGTCTTAAATCATTTGTGAATCATCTGGCATCATCTAAACAAACTGGTAAGTCAAGGACTACCGGTAGTTGCAGCTATTCTATTCTATTCTATTCTATTCTATTCTATTCTATTCTATTCT